TTGGACTCCCCGCGTGAGTAGTCGAGACCTCGATCACTTCTTGTAGGATCTTATCGACCTGGTCACGCGATGTTCGGGCATTTGACGCCCAAGATGCGGTTTATCAGGAGTTTCTTCTTGGTTTGATCGACAATGCTGTGATCGAAATGACAAACTAAACGAGCAACTGTCAAGCAACGAGATACCTGCGGGTTCTTGGCCCGAAACCGCAACGAGTAAAGTCAACATAACGTTTCAAGGACTCCCACGGCCACGGCACCGTATTGTCGTCGTGTCTTTTTGCAGACCTGTGGGTTGCCTGCTGTAATGGTCTCAAAGCCTAGCGGAGACATTTGGTGAATGGTACCCGGCGATACACTGCCAGCATGTATAATGATGTTTAAACAGCTTGACTAGCCCTGTCGTTATTTTCTGCTTTTTTCGTTAATCTTTTTAGTAATTATGTAGCATGCCCTTTGTTCATGGTCGAAAGGGCTTCACGCCAGGCGCACAGGGTAGCGGAGGAAAACAACTATAAGTTTAATTTGTTAGTACTCATGGCACGGATCTGTAAGTTTCACAAGTCTGACCAGTGCGAAAAGCCTTGTGAGCAAAAAATTGAGATAGGAGTAGTGGAAATGAACAGTCTCGGTGAGGGTAAGGAAGTTTACGGTGGTAACGATCAGCTCTATCCAGACTACGTTGAAGATGGCCTGGAAAGTGCGGGATGCACCTACGCCTCCAGCGAGACCCGTACGATCATATCTCGTCGCCCTACGACAACGCTCCCGGTCATCCTGTCATTTACATCGTATTCGGTACAAGCCTTGACTGCCCCTATCTCAGACGGCAAACCGGGCTACGATGAATCCAGCACCGAAAGCTGGGTTAGTCCGTACTGCGGCCTTGGAAGCTATGTGGCTACAGGCCCTAAGCTTGTTAAGGAAATGAGAAGCAGAGCTAACAGCATGTGCTGGTCACGTTTGTTGTTCTTGCTAGGAACTCGGGTTTGAAAAAAGATACAGAAAGCCAATCGACCATACGCTACTAATCCTGGCTGATGACAAGGCGGATTCAGGTCGCTTTCTCCATCAGTAGGCTGACAGCAGCGGAGACACCCGTATCATGTGCCAAAGTGCACGAAGAGCCGTGTAACCCCAAGTCCATGGAGCCACCCGAACGATAAAATCTCCCTCTGCTATCCTGCTAGCAGGAAATATAAGTAGTGTTTGATTTCCTCGCAGTTGACTGTTCATGCTTCTACCCTCAGATTCCTGTCATCCATACTCCAACATTGATATTGATCATTGTCACCACTAACACATCCTCTTTCGCAATGCCATCCGAACGTCTAATCCGGACCCGGCTGACAATCCTATTTTTCAGCATTATTTCACTCGCCATATCCGTTCTCAACTCGGCCAACGCACGCTCCGCTGTCATCTTGCGAGACAGAGCCAGGTCCGACTATGCGAGCGCTTCTCATGCTAGCCTGGCTATCAGCTTTGAGTCGCTGCAGAAGAACATTCTTTTGGACGTGCTACCTACGGCGATGCTCAGCGCCGGCTTGGCCATTTACGGACTTGTTGTAGCACTGCACCCAAGATTTCTGTGGGATCACGGGAGTGCTTGGAAACTCTACGCGATCGCCAAGATAATTATATCATTTGTTATGATTGGCGCTGGGGGCTACCTTGCGGACCATGTCCATGATCTTCAAAGCGCCTTCGCAATCTTCAACGCGAGCGACAAAATGCCGTACTTCAGCTTGATGTACTATGGCGGTATCGCTCAGGCAGTGTATGGATCTGTCTTGGTCTTGTTTGCCATTATAATTGTCATTGTTGTTATTGCGATTGATCGCTATCAGGCGAAGGACAGCGCTTTGAATTCTACAGCACATCATGCATACCATCTCTGACGATCTACACCCGACCACGGGCCAGTCTTGTCGATGATACGGTGCCCCGGTAGTACGGTACCCGCGTGTCAGAGACTGTTCCTCTGAGCGCAGTGCAGAAAAGCGTGGGCCAGTATTCTTGGAGTTGAGGATAGGATAGTATCAGACCAGGCGTTTCAGGAAGCCAAGAATGCCATACTGAGTAGACATGCTTTCAATAAGCCATTCCACTGTGTTCTCGAGGATCCGATGATTTTGCCATTTTCTATCTACCTCGGCACAGCACACAATCTGTAATCCTACTATGTTGCCCAGAAGCTTCAAACACAGGTGTAAGAATTTCCAGTTCGTGAACAATTATAGGAGAGGTTGACCAACTTGTTATTATATTCATTTTATTAGCTTTCAGTTATGCACTATCTGAGCCAATCATACAACCATCCTTGAAGCCCTTACGACCTGGAGCCCACGCTGGAGTGTTTCTTCAACAGTTGCTCCCAATCCATTCCACTTTCCTGACGTGTGACATAAGCGATCCCATTCAACCTAGACTGGATAACCGGATCTAGATCCTTTCGGACGGAAATCACCAATCGTCCAGGCCCGTTCAGATATTGGTACTTCGACATCTCACGGAGTATTTCCAATGCGTATAGGACCTGCTCTAGTCAGATATTTGCATCAGCCGAGGCGATTGGAAACATTATAACTAACCACTTCCTGCAATGGGCCTGAAACCACGGTAGAAACGGAGTTTTCCTGACTCATTACCTCGTTTGTTGCAAATCAAAGGAATATACGAGGATCTGGACATATGCACATTAAATATACCTGGCTATACAGTATGTATCAAAAACTACGAGAGAACAAAGGGACGCACCTCATTAGTATTTATCTATTTTTGCTTTGGGTGGTGGGTTTTAGCGCCGGATTCCGGACTCAACTTCTGTCTCCACTCCCGCGTCGACTGGGAATTCAACCTATGAGACCACCCATCGCCTGAAAGACACCCCACAGTACGTTCGACGAGAGGGCAGAAAGTCCGACCATTTTCCATCACTTGTGATGTGGTTCGGCAATTAGTAGGCCCCCTACATATACAGGTCGTCTTTTGCCCACATTACGAGACGCAGTCATTTCAGAGTTGTTCCCCCCAGATTGTGTAAGTGGCTATATGGCGCACCAGTGAGGCATCTCCGAAGGGTCACAAGCGCTTTTAATATTAGTGGGGCCAGCTGTGGGCCTAGTTGCAGAGTTGCGAAGTGATCAGCAAATAATTGCGTGACCAATTTTGAATTCTGACAACAACACTGCCAGTAGGTGTGTACGAAGCAAACAGTTCAAGAACGAGTAGGAGGAATGTAAGAAGGTATGGCTTATCTGTTGGCGAGAAAAAGAGGCTCGCTGCCATCTGCACGGCGACTCGCCTGGGCGAAGCCTTGTGCGGCTAGTGTGCGGGTGGCTCTATCGCCCGATGCCAATCTAGGTGCATGGTCCAAGTGTCCATTCAAATCCCTAGAATTGGAGGTTGTTCATTGCGCATCGTCCAGAGTGCGGTCCCACGCCCCACAGGGACTAGCACCGGAATCCGGACGACCACAAGATTTCGGCTTCAGACTTCGGCTTCAGATTTGGGCAAGAATGGAAAAGCTCAGGCCTCAGTCAATCGCTTACAGATGCAGAGTTCAGATTGTGTTGGAGCATCTTGCATGGAATGGTCACTTTGCCAAGCGCTTAAAGGGCCAGTGACGGTTCAGCCTTCTGGCGGTCCAGCCTAACCCAAACTTGGGTAGCTTTCGTACAATAACGGCTGCAGCGTAGGAGGCCAATCGCGTTATTTGCGATAAAGTTTTGATTGTCCTTGAAGTCCATAGGCCATGGCATGATCATAACTTCTGCAGAACACTTTTCTCTGTAGGGTCGCACAATCAGAACAGACAACCTGTCAGTCTTGTGTGAGTCTGTCTATGGTTAAGAACGGGACCTTGATCACTTACGCATTTGCAACGCAGATATATGGATGCGACATTCGCGTCCACCACTCCTATCTCAATTTTTTGCTGACAAGGCTTTTCGCACTGGTTAGACTTGCGCAACTTACAGATCCGTGCCATGAGTACTAACGATTAAACTTACAGTTGTTTTCTTCCGTCATCCTGTGCGCCTGACATGAAGCCCTTTCGACCATGAACAAAGGGCATGCTACATGATTACTGAAAATATTGACGAAAAAAGCAGAAAATAACGACCAGGGTAGGCGAAGCTGTTTATATATCATTATACATGCTAGCAGTGTATCGCCCGGTACCATTCACTAAATGTCTCCGCTAGGCTTTGAGCTCATTACAGCAGGCAACCCACAGGTCTGCAAAAGACACGACGACAATAAAGTGCCGTGGCCGTGGGAGTCCTTGAAACGTTATGTTGACATTACTCGTTGCGGTTTCGGGCCAAGAACCCGCAGGTATCTCGTTGCTTGACGAGTTGCTCGTTTGGTTTGTCATTTCGATCACAGCATTGTCGATCAAACCAAGAAGAAACTCCTGATAAACCGCATCTTGGGCGTCAAATGCCCGAACATCGCGTGACCAGGTCGATAAGATCCTACAAGAAGTGATCGAG